GCGTCAACAACTTCGAGCGATACCACATCTGAAGGAAGCACAACTCCAATTGTCTCTACGACGCCAACTGTAGATTCAACATCTTCCACGGAAGCAACAAGTGAAAGCACCACTACATCAGATGAATCGACAAGTAATTCAGAAGCGTCAACAACTTCGAGTGATACCTCATCTGAAGGAAGCACAACACCAAATGTCTATACGACACCAGCTGTAGATTCAACCACTTCCAGCGAAGCAACGACCGAAGGCACTACTACAACAGAGGGGTCGACAAGTACTTCAGAAGCGTCAACAACTTCGGGCGATACCACATCTGAAGGAAGCACAACACCAAATGTCTATACGACACCAGCTGTAGATTCAACCACTTCCAGCGAAGCAACGACCGAAGGCACTACTACAACAGAGGGGTCGACAAGTACTTCAGAAGCGTCAACAACTTCGGGCGATACCACATCTGAAGGAAGCACAGCTCCAAATGTCTCTACGACGCCAACAGTAGATTCAACATCTTCCACCGAAGCAACAAGTGAAAGCACCACTACAACAGATGAGTCGACAAGTTCTTCAGAAGCGTCAAAAACTTCGAGCGAAACAACATCTGAAGGAAGCACAACACCAAATGTCTATACGACGCCAACTGTAGATTCAACTACTTCCAGCGAAGTAACAACCGAAAGCACCACTACAACAGATGAGTCGACAAGTACTTCAGAAGCGTCAACAACTTCGAGCGATACCACATCTGAAGGAAGCACAACTCCTAATGTCTATACGACGTCAACTGTAGATTCAACAACTTCCAGCGAATCAACAGCCGAAAGCACCACTACAACAGAGGAGTCGACAAGTACTTCAGAAGCGTCAACAACTGCGAGCGATACCACATCTGAAGGAAGCACAACACCAAATGTCTATACAACTTCGAGCGAAGCCACATCTGAAGAAAGTACAACATTAGATGTCTCTACGACGCCTACTGCAGACACAACAGCTTCCAGCGAACCACCACTGCATCAGATGGATCAAAACGTACTCCTGACGAGCCAACAACTTCTAGCGATACCAAATCTGAAGGAAGCACAACTTCAGAGGTCTCTAGGACGACAAAGCAGCACTACATCAGATGAATCAACAAGCACTTCAGAAACGTCTTCAACTTCGAGCGATACCACTTCTGAAGGAAGCACAACATCAAATGTCTATACGACGCAAACTGTAGATTCAACATTCTCCAGCGAAGTAACAACCGAAATCACCACTACAACAGATGAATCAACAAGTACTTCAGAAGCGTCTACAACTTCGAGCGATTCCACATCTGAAGGAAGCACAACACCAAATGTCTCTACGACGCCAACTGTAGATTCAACATCTTCCAGCGAAGCAACAACCGAAAGCACCACTACAACGGATGAATCGACAAGTACTTCAGAAACGTCAACAACTTCGAGCGATACCACATCTGAAGGAAGCACAACATCAAATGTCTATACGACGCCAACTGTAGATTCAACAACTTCCAGCGAAGCAACAACCGAAATCACCACTACATCAGAAGAATCAACAAGTACTACAGAAACGCCAACAACTTCGAGCGATACCACATCTGAAGGAAGCACAACACCAAATGTCTATACGACGCCAACTGTAGATTCAACAACTTCCAGCGAAGGAACAACCGCAAGCACCACTACAACGGATGGATCAACAAGTACTTCAGAAACGTCAACAACTTCGAGCGATACCACATCTGAAGGAAGCACAACACCGAATGTCTATACGACGCCAACTGTAGATTCAACAACTTCCAGCGAAGCAACAACCGAAAGCAAGACTACAACAGATGAATCAACAAGCACTTCAGAAACGTCTACAACTTCGAGCGATACCACATCTGAAGGAAGCACAACACCAAATATCTATACGACGCCAACTGTAGGAAGCACAACACCAAATGTCTATACGACGCCAACGGTTGATTCAACAACTTCCAGCGAAGTAACAACCGAAAGCACCACTACAACAGATGAATCGACAAGTACTTCAGAAGCGTCAACAACTTCGAGCGATACCACATCTGAAGGAAGCACAACACCAAATGTCTATACGACGCCAACGGTTGATTCAACAACTTCCAGCGAAGTAACAACCGAAAGCACCACTACAACAGATGAATCGACAAGTACTTCAGAAGCGTCAACAACTTCGAGCGATACCACATCTGAAGGAAGCACAACAATAAATGTCTATACGACGCCAACTGTAGATTCAACAACTTCCAGCGAAACAACAACCGAAAGCACCCCTACAACAGATGAATCGACAAGTACTTCAGAAGCGTCTACAATTTCGAGCGAAACCACATCTGAAGGAAGCACAACTCCAAATGTCTATACGACACCAACTGTAGATTCAACAACTTCCAGCGAAGCAACAACCGAAAGCACCCCTACAACAGATGAATCGACAAGTACTTCAGAAGCGTCAACAACTTCGAGCGATACCACATCTGAAGGAAGCACAACACCAAATGCCTATACGACGCCAACTGTAGATTCAACAACTTCCAGCGAAGCAACAACCGAAAGCACCACTACAACAGATGAGTCGACAAGTACTTCAGAAGCGTCAACAACTTCGAGCGGTACCACATCTGAAGGAAGCACAACACCAAATGTCTATATGACGCCAACTTTAGGTCCAACATCTTCTGAAAGCACAAGCGCCAGAAGTTCCTCTACCTCATCTGCGTATCCAGTAGACGTTACGACTAAAGCTTCTGATACAGACTGTGAAGGTGTTGTTCATTTGACATTTTTAAATAAGTAGTACTTGGTGTACACTAAGGATAGGCGGGAAATTGAAATGTTTTTCGGGTTTTTGAAAACTCCTATTGTTCACACGTTCTCGATAGCATACGCCTAATAATAATATTAGTTAATATATAACGTATTTTTATGATTTTCAGTGACATAATTGCCTACGCATAAGCACTTAAATACCTAGTAAGTAATTGAAAAATATAAATTTTAAATTTGTGATTTATAAAATGTTTTAACTGTACTTTGTTTACATGCTCTTTGGCTGATGGGATTAAGAAGGTTTGCAAAATTTGTAGCAAAGGTTGAGAAAATTCGACCATACATACATAAATATGGCGTGGCAGCCAATTATATCTTGAAATATTTAACTGAAATGATTTCTGGTCTCAAAACGAAATTTTTGGCTACGAAGGAATATGATATTGAGAAGTAGTCTTTTTTGATTGTATTTAAAAGAAAACCTCTTTTGAAAACCAATACATTTATTGGTAAAACTTTATCGATCTCAACATTGATATTTATAGATGAGCAAATCTCACGAGTGGTTTTTGACCGACTTCCAAAAAAGAGAGGATGTTATCAGTTCGTCGGAATATTGTTTTTTTTTTTTTTTTTTTTTTTTTTTTTTTTTTTTTTTTTTTTTTTTTTTTTTTTTTTTTTTTTTTTTTTTTTTTTTTTTTTTTTTTTTTTTT